CCAAAACCCCAAAACCCCAAAACCCCAAAACCCCATAATCTATTTAAAGAATTGTGTTAAAGTAATATAATTAATAATATGAATTCATCAATCAGTAAAGATGACTCTTTCAACAGAAAGATGACTATCAGTCCAAAAGCTCCTAAGTTAAACAGGAGAAGAATGATCAAAACTTCTCTGGAGAATAATTACATCAGGAGTGTTGTTCTTAACGGAGATGTCAAGCTTGAGATCAAAGGTGGTCTTAAGACCACAATCGATTGTAGAGAAGTTGACAGTGACAGCAGTGATGGATGTTTGCTCAACAAGATCCCAACTCTGAGGAATATTTACAGTCTCAGAAAGATTGACAGATAAGGCGTCCCCTATACAATAATGCCTCTTAATCTTAAATATATTCATAAATTTTCTAAGCCTACTTCCGTGTCATCTTCCTGCTTTAGTATGAATTGGGAAAATATTGTATTAAAAATTTACTGTGTATATGGCTAGATTCACTTTATGAATTTTCTATTCTAAAAAGTATAAAAACTATATGCCCTCGATTACGATTTTTACGTACTTATTCTTCTTCCAATAAAAGATAAGTCAATAGAGATCTTACCATGATAGGGCCTCGTAGACCATGAATAGTGATTTAGTATCCCACCATCGTGTTCTGAAAGGTTCCAGAATCCAAGAAGTCCAATAGAACCGAACTTTAAGCCGTTTGGGGTCTTCCTAAGTTTATACCAACTCATAAATTTATTAAGAAGAGTTCCAGAGGTCTGGAGATTGACTATAAGATATATTAAGGATATGGAAATACCTCCTAGTTCATGTAAAATCGGTCCTTTTAAATTTTGTGACTCATATTTGTACCAAATCGAATTGTTGTTCTATTAAGCCCATTTTTCCTTTTTCTTAAATTATGCTCAAGATGCCGCTTTAAATTTTTTCAGAGTTTGTTTAAGGAAGAATTTTAATAATCTATCCAAGGCATTAACCTCTTACTAAAATTCTAGGACGTAAAAAATTGAAAAATTTGATGAAATCATGAAACATTTAGAATTAGTATACTAATAAATCTTCTTCTATGTTTGCTTTTAAACCTGTATATGAGTAGAAAATGCTCGTTTTATCATTACCGAAGTTGTGACATAAGCTAAAGTCCCTGAAACATCAGATTTCAGGAGAACTCAAACTTCGGTAAATTTTAAAGACCCTGACATTTTGATATTATTAAAAATTAATTACTTGAATTAGCAATGGAAGATTTCAAGAAAATATCGAATCTGGTAAATATTAAAATGTGTTAAAATGTTTATACTTTGGAAAATGACGAATAGTACTATTCCTCATGTTCGAATATATTTGAAGGTTTAAAAGATTATACCACAGGAGACTTAATTTCTTATAATGTTAATTGAATTCATCAAGAGAGCCCTTTCAATTTTAGGAGAAAGTTAATTAATAACATTTTTATGCAATTTAATGAAAAGGAAGAACAATACCTGAAGGATCTTTTAAAGAAAAATGTCTATTTCTTTCGATTCCTAAAAGTTTGAAATTAGAAATTCTCTTTTTGGTGATTAATAATAAATTCTAAAGTAAATATTTCAAACCATCTTGAGGCTAAAACTTGTACGAATTTGCTACAAGTCCCAAAGCTGCTGCTTCTTCACAAGTTCCAAGACTCCATAATAAATAACTTGGCTAATTAAGCATCCCTATTGACCTCATTAGAAGAAGGATGGCTATTTATTGACTAAATTTAAGGCAAACAAAATAGTTGAAATTCTGAACTCGTAGCCTGTGGTGAGATCTCAAAACAATCAATATAAAAAATTTATGAATATTTCTTAGCATCACATCCCAGATCTAAATGAATTATTCCCTATCATACTTCTTACAAAGTTGCTGCTTCTCACTACTGCATGACCGAACCAGTCCTGGAATCCATACTTTTCCTTCACAAAATTTGATGCTGTATTTAATCAGATTTTCATATTTGTGTAGATAAACAAAGGAATCGAACCATTCCTTGACTCTTCAATAAGTTGGTGAACTGGCTAGTTAGGGAAACTTTAGGGAAAATTACGTATATTTTGGCTAAAACTTTGCATATCCAGCCTGTTTGAGCTAGCCAAATCCCATAAATTTGCGATCTTTCAGGGATCCTGAAATATTTCAACAAGATAAATTTAGTAATATATTGAAATATTCATCTTGGGAGGGACAAGTTGTGCAACCTTGTTATTGGTGAGAAAAGAGGCCTACTAATTTTTCAAAGTTGTGGCTAGCTAATTCTCATAATTATCTTCGAATTTTACGGAAATTAACTAAGTTAATAAGTAAATCTTCTCTTTTATTATTAATAGCCGTTATAACTTCATTAGAATGTGATTTTGGCATGAAGCCTGAAGGAAATCTTTCGAATTTGTGAGAACAACTTTCTAAGAAATTTTAGGCTGAAAGGAATAATTTAGAGTTGACCAATAAAGCATACTAGTTACTACAGTTTAACCTTAAGAACCCTGTCAAAGACCTTTTGTAAGTATCGAAATATCTCCGATCGTTTAAAGCAAAGGAAGCTAGCCTGAATCAAGCAAAGGGAGTTAATAGGACAGACGAAACTATTTGAATCTGTTCTTTGGGATATTTCGGCAAGCATAAAGTTCACAATAATTGTCCAAAATTTCAGACCTTCTTTTTAGGACTATGATAAATATACAGTTAGCTCTTCAGAAGGAGAGAATTTAACATTTTCATAGAATATGGTTAATTACAACCAAATTATTGTTAGGAATTTTCTCTAGAATTGACTGCTTCATCAGTCATTACCTTCACCAAGTAATGTCAACTCATGCATACTCCCATTTGAGAAGAGAATTTTCCGAAAAAAAGAAGCTACAGGAAACATCGTTATTTATTACCGTATATAGTGCCTTGTCTGATTGCTTGAGAGAATTAATAATCGAACTCATATAAGAATCGAGCCCAAACCTTGTCCTCATCCAAAGGTTATAGTATTCACAGTCCATATTTCATAAATTAGGTTTAAATTAAGAGGAAAAATCTTTATGAGCAAGGAAGGATCTATTTGAACCTCACGCTCTATAATCTCCTAAACAGCTCTGCATCATGTTTCAATACCTTATAATACAAGGCTTAAATATTGACAGTCGAACCCTAACTTTTGAAGCAGAATAGGCCTGAAATTGCATTATTCCTTAATGACTTCGCTTTTATAGACTACTTCAAACATTGATAACAAACCCTTTTTCAATATGACATCCTTCTAGATCCATGACCTTGAGGGTAAATCGAAAAAGAAGTATCACATTTTGATGAACTCAAAAGTGAAGAGTAGGAATATTCTAGATGGAATATGCAGAATCTCAAGATTACTGAACAAGTATTGAATAAGCAGCTTGGTAGTCGCTAAAGAATTATCTAAATTGACATAAAATTGGCTTAATGAGCTGCCATGCTCTTCGGAAGGTTGGGTTTATTAGAAAAATGCCTATTAGAAGCCATATTATATCTCTTGATTTCCAATAAGCGTTGTGCCAATAGGGGTTTTGGGGTTTTGGGGTTTTGGGGTTTTGGGG